GGGGAGGAAGAGAGAGAAACATAGTTCTTTTCTTTCCGAAAGATCCAAGGAGGCCAAGGACTTGGGCCACGAGCCAGAGTTGAGGGACCTCGGTGGATGTTGAGCTCAGGTATGAGGGTGTTCCCAGTTGTGAAGGGCTTCTGGGACCCAGCTGAGCTCTGCGTCACCCCTTGACTTAGGCTACAGAAGGGTGCTCTCACTCTCCTGTCACCACGGCCACCTGCTGTCCTGGGGACAGCTGCTGGGAAACGAGAGCCCCAGGAACATTTCAGAGCTTCTCTTCTCAGTGGCTCTGACTCTGCAGATGAGAGAGCGCGGGGCCTGTGCTCTGAACCACTGGGCATTCCTGCTGGTGCGCTGAGTGGGCTGTAAGGAAACCGAGAGTGAGAAGGCAGTGCTGCCGAAGGAGAAGGCCCTGGTGTCAGGGCTGGGAAAGGGAGCGAGACAGGAGGGAGGCAGCTGAGGCCCAGGGCACAGGCAGCCCCAAACTGCCTGCATCCACGTCTTTGTGGACCATCCAGGCAGCTGCCTCCCACATGTGCAGACACCCCCGGGGCCCTCGCCCTCCTCTCCAAATGAGGCGAGGGAGAGGCTCTTGGAGACAAGGCTTTGACAGTGAGTCTTAGATGGAGTCACCGCCACAGTCCTGGCGGAGGTGACAGAGGCCACGCACCAGAGACTGGTTTTCACTTCCACATAGAAAGTGTGGGCAGGATGAGAGTTGGTCTCTGTCCTTTGGCCACAGAGACCAGCAGCCGCAGGGAGTGGGAGGCCCAGAGCATTTCTGTGGTTGACCCAGTCGAGTTTCTCATAGAGCCAGGCCAGGCTGCCTCCCAGCCAGGGCTTTTCCCCAGCAGGGATTTGTCGCACAGAAACGTCCTGTAGCGCACCTCTGAAGACAGCGTTAGTGTGATAGTGGTTGTCACGTTCGTGTCTTGTGTTTTAGGTGTTTATGTACGTATATATGTTAGTTATGTCTACATTTATACCGTTTAAAACGCTTACAATGACTCGTTCATTCAGCCAATATATGTTGAATCCCTGCTGTGTGCCGATTCTGAGACGGGTTCTGGATTCCCATCCCATTTCAGGTCGGTGGTGTGCATCAGTCCTTCCCTTCAAAGCTAATATTTGTCACTGTGGGTGGTTGATCGGTATAAACAGGAGGACGCCTTAGGAGAATGCAGGGTAGTTTCCGTGGTGATCATGAGCTTTCAAAGCTTGAGAGTCAATGGGAAAGAAATGATTAAAAGAGTTCTTGGTGGTGAGAAAATTGAAAGTCAGCCTCTTACATAGCCCAAGTTATGTGAGGTGTGTTCTTGCTCTTAAAGAACTCTCAGCCTGGTAGAGGAAACAAATATATTTTAAAAAGAAGAAAGAGAAGGGGAATGCAAATTGCAACAAGAGTGGCCAAATCCACGATGGACCCAGAGCAGCAGACGCCCAGGTTGGGAGGGTCAGGAGACAGATTTTCTGAGAAAGAAACACCTAAGTTTCATGGTAAAGAGTAAGGAGTTTACAAGGCCAGATAGGGCAATATGTGTAATGTTTTCCCCTCGGATTCTGAAGGATGATGGCCATCATGGTTTGGGACCCCGGAGTCACCCACTCAGCTGTCCTTAACCTGGCGAGCTCCTGCCGCGCACCTTGCAGATGTCAGCAGGTTACGTTTGTTGCTCGATTTGCAAGGAGCCAGGTAGTTCCAGTCCCTGCAGGGTCTAGTTGTATTCTTATACAGAAATCAGAAGTCCAGAAAAGGTGAGGGCATCAACTACAGGAAACACTAGCATTTGCTTCTAACTGTAGTAGAAGCGAACTTGCCTGAGGATTCTCCCCTCCCCCAACACACCTGTCCGAGTCTTCCTCATCCTTTCAGACCAAGCACTGATGCTACTTCCAAAAGCCCTTCCAGATTCCTCTAATGGGATGTGGTCTCTCTCTTTGCCAAAGGCCTGGAAGCATCCTCGCTTCTTCAGTGATATCTGTAGAGCATCCAGCCTTGAATCGCAGTCTCAGAGGAGGGTCTTAGTCTCAGAACTCCAAGAAGTGGGAGGCAGAGAGAAAAGCCTAGGCCCCAGGGGATTCCACCCCCAGGCTCTTGGGAGGATAAGGTAGAGGGTTAGATGGGCCCAGAAGCCGAGGAGTCAGCACACGGGGCGTCCTCTCTGCCTCCCTCCACCCGCCCAGCCCCAGACAGCCTAGCCACTGCGGGCCTGTCCTCACCTACCCAAAGGGTATTTGCCAGGTCATTCTTCCAAGTTGCTGCACAGTGTTCCTAGGTTGGAATGTCCACCCCCGTCCTTGCTCACCCCTCCAGCAACTCCCTAAGCACAGTTTATTCTTTCAACCCTCCTGACTGTTCCTTCAATGCTCACCCCCTCAATGTGAGCTCAGTGACCCTTTTCCAGGTCTCTGTGGCCTCCAGACATCTCTGTTTTTGTGCCTCCAACACCGACCCACTTGTTGATACACAGTCTGCTGGGTGGTGGGCCTTCTGAGGTCAGAAGCTGTGTCTTACTTATCTCAGTGTCCCCGGTAACTAATGAATGGACAAATCAGCGAGTCTAGATTCTTCCCCAGCCTTCCCTGGGGCCAGACACTCCCGCATTCATCTCTGTGACCCCATCCCAGCACCCGCCACGTGGTGGCTTCACAGTGAAGCTTTGTTGTCAGGTGAATGAATCCAGTCGTTCCCACTCATACTTGAACATGCCAGCCCACCGCGTGGTGAGACTGAGCTGATTCTTGTAAAAATGGCCTATAAAAATGAAATGTATTTCAAATATTTGTCAAAAGAATCCAACTTTGTGCATAGCTTTCAGTCCTCAGACCCCCAATAATGCCTCACTCAAGTGCCACATGCCTGTCACGGGACTGACTGGCAAAGGTCACCTTAGGAGCGCCGCGCCCCAGGCACTCCCCACGCTGCACAGATCCGTTCCTCCTCTTCCTGTTCCGCACACCTCCCAGGGCAGCAGGGGCAGGTCAGGGCACACACGCAGAGATAGGTCACCAAGTTCCCTCCCCTCCTCCTCTCCCCTGTAGTCTACGTATTCTACACCTCCTGTGAGCCCATCTCCCGACTCTGATGTGAGTGTGAATGGGGAAGTTGCCATTTGCTCCCTAACCCAGCCTTTGCCTGCGATGCGAATGAGACCCCTATGCTGCAGGTGCCAGTGCTCCGAAGCCCGCCCCACCCTTCCACCCCGTGGCAGAGGTGGCATCAGCAAGAACTCAGTGTTTGCAGTGAGCGGACGGGGCGCCCCCTCTCCCTGCGCTGGCCTCTGTCCTCGGAGGAGGGAGGGGCTCAGGACCCACACGCCAGCTCCACTTCTGCCAAGGGCTTCCCTGGTGGCTCTCGGGAGGTGCAGAAGGGACCAATGGGGCTGGACAGTGTAGGCTTGAGAGCCAATGGCGGGCCAGAGTGAAGGTGTGAGAAAAGAGGATAGTATTTCAGAGGTACCAGTAAAAGGAGGTTCACAGAAGACAAGTGTTCATTTTTCTCAGGCTGTCGGAAGTCCTGAGCTTGTCTGCACGAGGGAGCTTTTGTATGAAATGTGGAAAGTGTGCCGCCTAACTTGAGTGGCAGCCTCTCAGACTGCATGCTTGAGTTGGACAGAGCGACCTTCCTGGATTTCTGCCCCCAGCCCCGTCCCCCTCTGCCAGCTGTCTTACACCTGTACCTGGGGATGCAGCGGCCCCAGGCCACCACCTAGTCTGTGACTCATCCCCTCCTGCCTAAACCCTCTCTGAACTGAACAGCTGCAGCCAAGCCTGGGTTCACTGTCCACCCAGGATGGGGCTGAAACTGGAGCGTCCACCTCTGTTTCTTGGAGGGAATCAAGGAGCCACTGTTACCTGTCTCACCACGCCACCTTTCCCCACTTCCTTGCTGCCCCAGATACCCCACCGTCTGTCTCCTCACCTCTCTCTGTCTCTCTCTCCCCGCAGGCCGGGAGGACCCAGAGAGACCCCGTGCTGATCAGAAACAAGCAGCTGTGCTCCACGTGCCAAGAAAAGAAAATGGTAGGCCAAGGGGTTGACAGGTGTGGGTGTGGGCACCCCCAGGGCCAGCAGAGAGAGTTGGTGATGGAGCCCCGTGTAGGGAGGGCTGTGAATGAGCTGGCCTTGGGAGCACCGTCACCTGACATGATACCATAAACCTCCCCGTTTTCAACACCAAAAGTGAACCAAGGCAGATTGGTCTAGAGGGGATGGGAAGAGAAGAGCCACTCTGCCTGGGGCCCTTGGGTAACTGCACCCTGCAGAGGTGCCAGAGGTCACAGACCTTCTTCTCCCCTTAACATGTTTCCAGCAGGCGCACACAATGCCGTCTGCCTCCAGCATCACAGCCATGAAACCAGCTGCTTCCTCTCGGGGTTGTCATAAATTCAGTCACCACCTCAGGGAGAAGGCTGGGGAGAGATTCTCTGGTACTTTCTGGCTATAGGGGTTGCCTGCAATGAGGGGGGGATGGGGAAGGAGGTATAGGGGCAGGGGAGGTTCAGGAAAGAAGGGTTATCAAAGGGATGCGGGCAACACAGGGACAAAATTCTGCCATTTGTCAGAGTTGCTAAAGAAAGAGAAGCATTTCGGGAGGCATGTCCATGCTGTGTGGGGACTTGGATCAGTTTAAGAAGTAGGGTTAGGGGCCATCGGAGGACACATCAGGCTTCAGTGGAAGGTTAATTTAGCTAAATGGTTAGATTTGGGTTTGGGGAGGGTCTCTGAGGCTCTAATAGCCTGTGATTCTCCTTTGACTCGGGGAAGAAGAGCGAGGAGTGGAAGAGAAACAGGAAACACGAGAGGCCCCTTTGATGAGTTCCTGGCAAAAGTGCTTCCACCCAGAAAGCGCTTCTCTGGGTTTGTGAAACTTTTGTGTGGGGTTTGGAAATGTAACCGAAGCCACCGAGCAGAGTGTCCCTGGGCATTACAGTCTCTGTTCGCGTTCTGCATAATTAGGACCACAGTGTTCCATACCAGCATGGACCGGAGCCTGGGACACTGGGCTGGGGGTTTCTCCTGGTCCGGTTCCTGGAATCCCTGGTGTCCACATTTGGAATGCGCTGAGCCCGGGCTGAGCGGGCCCCGGCCAGCTGGCTCGCTCGGCACCCCGGCAGCCGCTCTCTTTCTCAGGACCTCTTTGCTGACCTTTGCTCTTGCTGGAACCTGCCTGGAGTGGAAGCACACACGGTGGTTTATCGTTCTCCGTAGTTGCCAAAAGGAAGGGCCTCAGACACCAAGGTGTCCAAGGGCCCATCCCTGCTGCCATCAGAGCCGGGGCACACAGAGCCTGGCGGGAAAGTGGGAGGGGACAGAATGAGTGTGAAGTCTGCTCGCCTGACTCTGTGCAGTTGCACCTCCACTTCCTTCTGGGGTGGGGACCCGGGGGGAGCTGCTCATCTGCTCTGCCCACTGGGACCCCTCCGTCCTCAACAGGGGGTTGAATGGAGATGCTGGGAAAGGTATAAAAAGACTCCTGAAAAAGAAGCTTGATATAGGGTATCTACAGAAACCCCACAACTAACGTCAAACTCAGTGGTGAAAGACTATTTTCCCCTAAGATCAGGATCAAGATCAAGGTGTCCCCTTGCCACTTCTGTTCACGATTGTACTGTACTGTCTAGTCAGCTAAGGCAAGAAAAAGAAATTAAAAAAAAACAGATTAGAAAGGAAAACATAAAACTATATTTGCAGGTGACGTGATTTTATATATAGATAGAAAGTCCTAAGGGATCCACAGAAAAATCTACCAGAGCTAATAAAGGAGTGCGGCAGAGTTACAGGACACAAGATCAATGTACAGGAAAATTATTTCTATATATTAGCAACGGACAATCCAAAAATGAAATTAGGAAAATGATTCAATTTATAATAGCATCAAAAATTAAGAGTACTTAGGAATAAATTTAACCAAGAGAAGGGAGAAAATGCTGTGTGGATGACTCATATTACATGCAACTCGAGCTTGCTGAGGTGGTGCGTTCTTTCTTTAAATCAGCCTGCAGTTTGGGGGCCTTGTCCTACATGAGACTTTCTTCCATAGGTACGACCAACAACTGTGGTGATCCCAGATGACCTGAAACTACCCTTTGCAAATTTAATGGGTCGTAGGTAAGTCAGAGATTTAAATCAGGACACAGCTTTAATTCTGGTTATATTTGTTTGGGGACACAGGATAATGGATTGAGAAACATAATGAGTAAAATGTTTAAGGAATGCTTAAGGGATGGGCCTTTGGAGTGGTTTTATTTTCTGGTTAAACTACAGAGTTAAACCAAAAAAGTTGTTTTTACCTTTTGGCTTGAATAGCTGTTGAAAGTACTGTCGAAATTATAACCTTCCTTTCCACCTTCATAAGAACAGTGCAAGGAAAAGAAGATAGGCGATTTCTTTGATAACCTAGGCAGAACTCAGTACAGCTTATCCATGCAGATGACACATCTCATTCATACAGTATGGGAGATTATACATAATCTGTCTTGGGTCTAGGACATTCTGTGCTACTTTAGAGTAAGAAAATTCCTGTTATCAATTTGTTTGGTTGTCATTTGCTGCTTTCTTATCAGGTATATCAGAAATCAAATCCAGTCAAAGTTTGATCACTTGGATTTCAGGGTTTGTTTTTTTTTTTCCTATGTTTAACCACCAGACAGAGAAGAAAGACTCAGTTTTCACTTCATCAAAAAACTCAAAACATGGAGTGACCCCAGATAACACCCCACAATAGGCAGACGTGCCTTGCAGTAGATGGTTGAAATGTAAACATACAGTCACCCTCACGTACGCCCAATCCAAAAAAGTTGTATGTGATCTAATGGCGGCCTTTAATTTTCCCCCCATACAGAGAGCAATAACGTGGGGAAATAAATAGGTCTTTTTGTGAACTTATGATGGACAGCAGTAGATGTTATGATTCTCTGTAAGAGCTCAGGGCCGTTTGTACAAACTAATATGTAGACTCAGATGCATCAAAATCATGTACTGGCCCAAGTAGACAGGGTCGTGGAGGAAATGGGGACCCGAGCAGTACAAGCTTCAGCACTGATAACATTTACCTCCACCGACTCTTTATAAGTGCTCTTAATATCAGATCACAATAGAAGTAATTCTAATAAATATTCTTTACAGACTTTCAATGGAAAACTAAACTATTTAAATTCAGGAATTTCTGAGCAAGAAGTTCGCTCTTCTGTGAAAAAGACTTTCGAAATTTTTTGTCCCGTTTTATTCATCTTTCAAGTTGGATACTTTGAAGACCCAAATCCTGGATCATTGATTGGTTTTATTTTAAACAAATACCTCTTACTCTTTTAAAGGTTAAGACCAACGCTTGAACCAATCCTGAAATCATGTCACCCCAGCCAGAACTATCATTAGATTGGTCTTTTTTTTTCAGTGTAGTGAAGGGAAATATACTACTTCTATTTGAGATTTAGCTAGTGTGAGTATAAAGTAAGGTCCTGGTTCTGTTTGTAGCTTATAAAATCTGGCCTCACAGTATTTAAACCTCACTACATCTACAGGCAGATGGAATTGTCCTCACTGAAATAATCGGGGGTTTTTTAAGTGACTTTAATTATAGTCAGTGTAAGAATTAAATAATATTTGTTGATTGGAAGGAATGAAGGAAAGAGGGGGAGGGAAGGAGGAAGGAAAAGAGAGAGGAGGTAAATATGAATGGATAGATATACATTTGTTGAATTATAGTTTAGACGGATCTTAAACTATTCATTCTTACAAAAACCACATTCCTATTTGCCCAAAATGGGTAATAGAAGGTATTTTTCATTTTTCTTAGTCTCGGTGAGTCCTCCAATGGCAACTGAATAAAATTAACTGGCTGGACTGGCCATATTTTTGGTAACAAAGTAAAAATAATCTCGAAAAATCTTTGTGGAGATAGATACCATGAAATGAGTGGAGAGAGAGCCCATCAAGTTCACAGATCGGACAGTCTTTAGAAATAAAGCAATTTAAACTAATGTAGAAATGTAGAAAAAGTTTGAGCTTTTGGTTGAGGGTCACTTCCACAGTTTTAGCTACAAAGAGAAATAGGAAGTGGTCAAAACATTTTCTCTAAAATTGAAACATTCTAACCAAAATATGCTCAGTTTTGCACTTGATGGTAGATTACTGATCTGGAAGAATTGTTACTTTTTTTTTTTTTCTGGGAACTGAAGGATTCTCTCCTTAATCCCTTCTATTTTTAGACTGTACATGTTCTGACAGTGGAATAAAACATTTCTTAAATGCAGGGTTTTTTTTTTTTTAATCAGAATCCATGTAAATACCATTAAGGAGAAAGAACTTCAAAAGCAGTGGTTGTTGGCCTGTCCCTGCTCACTGCTGCAAAGTGGTCTGAACGCCAGGTTAACAGGTGCTGGTTTCAAAAGACCATCTGCGTTTTAAAATGCATAAAGACACATTCCTTTCCCCCAAGCCCTAGCCGAGTGACTAATGTGTTTTCTTGCTCCTTCCAATCAGAACGATGCATCTTCATCCACCAAAAGCCCGGGCTCTACCCAAACGTTCTCATGATGACATCCCAACAGGTTTGCTTCCTTTCAGAGTACTTGCAGGGGGAGACATACCACCCCCAGAGTAGTAGAATGGAAAGTTTAACCTCTAAGATAATTTCTAAATTTCCTGAACAAATTCCCATTCTCTAGCCCTTCTCTTTCACGTACTGCTTATTGACCTGTTTCGCTGGGTCCACAGCCCTCTCTTCACTCCGTCCCCTCTTCAGACCTCGCTGGCCCTTCTCCATGTTGTGTTCCTTCCCTGGTCCTCACCACGCTGCAGGGCTCTGTCCCCTTCTTTCTAAAGATTCCCGTCATCCACCTGCTGGAGGATTTCCATATGGGTGGGGCACAGAGTAGATAATCCCCTTCTCAGGCAGTCCTGATGGTACCAATTAAGGTGGGAAGGGAGGTATATCCCCACAACCCTAGAATGGCCTCACCAAGCCCGGAACCTGCCCTTCCACAGGCTCCTTCAAACACCTGCCTTCTCCCAGCAGCTGTCCTGTGCTATTCTTATGCTCACTTGCTGTTAGTAGGAAAAAGGACGGTGACTCTATCTCCAGCTTCAGCACTGACCTTGGTCTTATCTTGTAGAGAAGCCAACTTTGGGCTGGTGAAGTGGGGAGTGGGTCCTTGTTTGGAGTGATGTACTTCAAGGCTTTAACGCAGTATAGGCTGTCACTGCAGTAACTTTGCCCATCTTCTCATTTACTCCTGTATTAACTGAAGCCACCTTCAGTTTTTTTCTTTTATGTGATGTATGCACAGTAAGGAACATCAAGATTACTTTCTTCACTTTGTGCAGTTGGGAAAGTCCAAGCTCTGTCCTGGGAGGTGGCAGGGGAGCTAGAGCCAGAATTGAACTGAGAAGCCATTTGAAAAAAAAAGAAATTTGAGAATAGAAAGGGTAACCAAGGGGTTATCTAAAGGGAGGACCAGAGACTCAGGCGACAGCTGAGGTTTTGAGATAGCCACTCCAGAGGAGTGAAAGTCCCAGTCCCTTCTTATGTATCCAAAAATACTGGCCTAGCCCACAGCTCTCATTTAGCCAAAGTGGACTGAAAGTCCAAGAGCTAAGAGCATCCATCCAAAGAAAGCTTCCCCCTCTGCTGTTCTCTGGCCCACAACCTCCTCATTCTCTTGAAGAATGTGCATTTGGTTCAGGTCTCTCTGTCCCAGACACACAATCATTCCGAGTCTCCCTTGAACCTGGATTTTTTTCATGTGAAACATACATGCGTGTGCACACACTCACACAGTTACATGCCCTTCCCTCAGCACCAATGTTTATTTTCTGATTCTACAGGACAATGATGTAATAAGATGCCTTTCATAAACTTATTAACTGTGGGAGTGTATTCAGCTACCAATAAAAGAGCCCGGCTTGGTGTACCTAGATCAGCACATTACGTTCTGGACAGACCTAGTTCTTGCCCATAGAGTTCATCCAAGGAGAGCAGTCTTGGAGGTGGGGCTTTGGGGAGAGTGCTCACGGAGCTGAAGCTTGCTAGATCTAAGTTTGATTCCAGTCATGACCCTTCTGAGCTGAGCTTTGCTCTTGGGTGTGCTCTCTGAGGTCATAGAAAAAGTCTTGGAGCAGAGAGATCTGTTCAGGTCCCAGTTTTGCTATACAGGTTTGGCCACGTTGTTGAAACTCTCTGGGTCACTGTGTTCCCACCTATAAAACAGAGAAGCGCTTTGCCCACCCTTGCCACGTGGAGCCAGACACTCAGTACAAGCAGCCTTCACCTTTGATCAGCACAGAAGAAGTGCTGACGGCTGCCCCAGCCGCACCGGTTTAGACACTTAGACGTGTCCCTGTGCAACACTGGTTGCTCATTGCTGCCACCCACCTGTGCCGCGTGGCCTGTGGACATGCCAGATACCAAATGGCTGACTCATCCCAGTGACCGTGACTGCCGGTGACTGGTTCATTTTATGGATCACAACAGTGAGGTCTAGTATTTTTCAGGATTCAGCTAAACTTTATAATGTTATCAATAATTATTGGTGAAAACTAAGTAAATGGATAGAGCCTGTGTCTATAAGCAATGGGCTTTCTTCTGAATTTGTTTATCTTGACTTTGGCCTTGAGCCCAGAGTTCCAAGACACTCATGGGCTCTTGTCCATGAACGTTGGTAGAGCTGCTACCACCTGACGTAGGTCCACCACCTGTCACGGCGGTGAGACATGGTACAAAGAGCACTGGGTTAAGATGAGGGCGATATGGCCTCTGGTCCTCAGTCCATCATGGGCCTCTGTTACCTCTTCATTACAGCAATGAGACTGAACCGGGTCCTGGGTTTGTGATCCTGTGACATGTCTTAGCTGGACTAAGGAGCTTGTTCCAGAGAATTCAGGACTCCAGTTCCCTTAGTCATTCAGTGACTTCCAGTGGGAAGATGTCATTTCATGCACTGATTTACTCTCCTTCACAATGTGTAGTCTGGAAAAGTGGAATATTAACCAATTTTTGTAAATAAGCTCATATTCAAAGAAGAGATCAGGATGGTAAGGATTTTAAGCAGCCCTAAAATAAATTATTTCATAAAATGAAGATACCTTTTGAAATGCAAGTACATTTCCCCTACTGTGGCCTTTTCATAAGATCATGTTTGTTTGTTTGAGGAGCAGAACCACGTATGTGTCCCCAAAAAGTCTTCTGAGGATTGAATCCTCTTTTCCCTTTGACTCTCATTACAACTCCAGACACACTTTATCTTCATGTATAATTTAGTTGGCAGTGTTTCCAAATATCTAAGTTTTGCTTCTAAACACTCCTTTCTGGTCTCTGACAAGATTTGTAAAGGCTTAAGTGTTGTAGGGCTAAGATGGTTCTATTAATAGGAAGTCTCATGTGAATTTTGAAGCTGTTTTATAAGGTTAAGGGAGTCTTTGGTAACTTGGGTTATTTTGAGGAGTTTTTAAAAATAGAATGTAAGGCGCCCTTGTCCTTTCTTCTCGCACTGTCCTCCAGAGAGCGTTCACCATAGACTGCCCATCCTGGGCCCCAGGACAGCTGTCTTCCATGGGCTGCTGTCAGATGCCTTCACAGCTTTGCAGGAGACACAGCTCTCTTCCTTGCCCAGAAAGGGGCCCATGGACAAGTCAGAGAGGCAGTGAGTGCTCGGAGCTCATCACCTACCGGACCCTCAGGGAGAAAGCAACCTCACTGAGCCAGTTTCTGACACTAGTGCCTTCTCATAATTTCCTCTTAGCATGAAAAAGATGACTCAGTGCTGCCTTCCTGACCATTGCTAGAATCCTGCCTCTTGCCATTCTCCTCTGGCTCATTTCTCCTAGAGACCAAATGGTTCGTGGCACATGATGATAAAGATGTGTTGATTAAAATGGAACATTTTGAGTGGTGTTCATTTTGTTTGCTTAAAGATTGTTTATAGTAGAAGACACATCTTTCCGTTTGTAAGATGTGAATTTTCTGTGAAAATCATTTCTCCTTTCAGGGCAGGGGGCCAGAGATGGCTCCCGGGGGCTCCTCATGAATTCAGCCTAGTAAGGATAAAGGAGAGAGGTGGGGGTCGCTCTACCATCCTTATCTCTGTCCGTTAACTCTGGTAGATGACAGAGTGCTGTGAGGCAAGGGCTGAAAAATGGCCAGTGATTAGCCATGGCCACCATTGAGGAGAGGAACAGTGTCTTTTCTCACCTTCCGCCTATCACCTTCTTGATGCCTTGCATATAACTGCTGTTCATCTAATGTGTGTTCAGTCAAATCCAAACCAAATGCTTATGTTTTGTAGTTTGGTTACTTTGGTTTGAGGATGTCTATCTCCAGCTCTGTCATAGTCCATGTGTCTGAGGGAGATAAAGGAAAACTCTAGACTTGCAAATATTATATGAGTGCATACACTCCATGCTCAGCTTCAGGAGGGCTCACATTTAAAAAAGTCCCCTCCATTCTCTAGGGGACAACAGCTTCACGGAATCCCAAGTTCCTGACTCAGTGGACACTGGACCAACATGTGAGAACCAACCTCCGTGCCAACCGTGTTTGACGAGTGGGCTTCAGAAATCTCTCACAAATGGCCTGGCAGCCAAATTGACCTGATTTCTTGCGTGCGCGCACACACACACGCACACACACAAACCCCCAAAGCAGAAAAACTTGCTCAATTGCCTTATATTCCTGAAAGGCTATGGATTCTTGGTTTTGGTTCATTTAAAGTTCAAGGATTCCAAAAATAGCATGCACTTCCTTTCAAGGTAAGGCTGTACGCATGAATTATGATCCCATTTCAGATCATTGTCAGAGGACAGACAAATCACAGATAAAGATGTTTCCTTTTATTTTTTGCAAATTATCATATCCAGTAAAAGGACTTGGGGTACCCGTTCCCATGCATTAGGGAAGGATACATGCCCCCAGTAGGATTATTTGGAGCCTTTGAGGTAATCTGAATAACGTGGTAATATGAACGTTATCCCCAAACCTCTCGTAAGTGGGCCAGGATAATTTCTTCACTGTAAAAATCTACTCGTGATGTTATTCCCGGTTCAAAGTCATACAGGGTTCAGATTAGGCTTTTTTAATATGGATAATCTTGGGTAGATTTGTTTGTGTGTTTCACAGCTAAAGCCTGATTTTACTGTTTTAAAAATAAATGACTCTCGTTATAATAAAAATCCACAGACATGAGTCAGATATACTCCCACTCTTTTATCTTGATTCACCCCAACAGGGAACTTAAAAACCAATTAATCAGCACAATTTCTTTACTGCCAGGAATAGAGAGAAATACTACACTTAGGAGAATCCATGCAAAAAATCAAGTATGTAACACAAAGCTATTGTTACCTTTAGTCTCAATTTAACCTTGGGAAGCCCTGCAGGCCTTTAGTGCCTCGTGTCCTCCTCGGGGTCCCTCATCTTCTCCGTGTCCCCTAAATGCCAAAGCTCGTGGGAGGCCTGTCAGCGGCCTGTCGGCTCCTGAGCCCTGTGGTTTTACTCACTGTAGCTGCCCATTTTCCTGAAAATGCCCAAGAACCATGTAGTTCCGAGCAGCAGAAGTGTCACAGGTTTGGCAGAACGGCCTCATGTCCTCCTAAGGCAGGCCCTGCCTGGGGTGTCCTGTGTGGGTGTGGTTACTCAGGTTGGGGGAGGTCTGAGGGGTGAGGACGGTGCTCCCCCACAGAATACAGAACCTTTCCAAGAAGATGAGGAATCCCAGACTTGTTTCTATTAATACATTTATAAACTAAAGCCTTAAGGGTGAAGATTAAATTAGAAAATTTAGAAATGGATAAAATGTACTAATCTCTAGAAAAAACTGGGACAGTCAATCCCATTTCAACCATGTCCCGCTCAAACCCATCTTAATTTAGCACCTTAGTATTGTCCCTGTTTCATACATGTGATTCTTGTCTGTCTAAATAACGTGTCACTTCATGAGGATGAGAACAGTATCTCATGCTCCAGCCACAGCCCCACAGGAGCAACCCAGACACATACTCAGGAGGTACTCAGAAAGAAGAAAAGTCCATTTCTCAGTTGCCAGGCAATATGAGAAAATGGGAGGTGAGAGCCCTGCATTTGGGGTTGTGAGGATACAGAGGGTTTTGGACTCTGCCTTGGAGGAACTTACTT